GCACTGCCTCAGGGCTGCTTTCTTTAGGTGACAGAGGAATCCCGCATATGGAGACTCCAGTAGCTGTCAGTACTTCGTACCGCCCACCACCAGGGACTGTGCAGCGACATTTCAAAGCCTGACACTTAAAGGCCACTCTGTCATTAAGGGGCCTTTGGCATCCTGACACAGAGAGGGATAACCACACTTTCTAAAGCCCTGGAGGTGCAGGTGCCCTTCTACACAGACGGTGTGACCACATGTGCTTTCCTGCATAACTTCTGCATCACAAATGGGGACATTATGGAGTTTGATGATGTGGATGAAGATGATGACACCCAACCAGAGGAAGCAGTTTGTCAGGAGAGAAGCGGTGCTGCAGTGTGTCCCCCCTGCCAGTTACTGCATTTAATAAACTGCATTACTTGGCAACGCCATATCAGCAGGGATGTTTTAGATGTGCTTATGTCAAGGTTTAGTTTGTGCTTGTTTATGAAGCTTAAAACTGAGTTCCTTAATTACCTTTTACCAGTGCTTCTGCCTGTGTCTTTGTCCAATTTTGTTTTAGAAGGATTGATACCTAATGAATGCCTAATGAGTCCTTTGCAGTAAAGATCTAAATATCACCTGCTTAAGCCCCTTATTGAGTGTAAGTAATAAGTCATAATTTATACACAAATCGGTAAATAATGACAGTATGTAAAGTACAATACGTGTCTATTGATTAGGAAGAAATGAGGAGTGATGGATGGAAAATAATGGTCTATTATACATAACAGGAATGATATTTACCAAATTAAAATGTTGCTGCTTTAGTCACAGCTGTAGAAATTAAAACACTTATAAACACTTAAAACACTTACAATGTGTAAGGAAGACAATGCTCCTCTCTGAAGGAGAACAAATGATGTCAACTTGACAATTTCAAAATAAACTCTAAATTGTAAAACTGCATGCAGCTCAGCTCAGGCACATTTCACCTTATTTCCACAAAGTCAGTCTCATTAGCATTGCAGCACAGCAAAAGAACAGACATTATCACAACGTTTTGTCTGGTCGAATTGTATTTGTATGGCCACCAGGAGGCGACATACACTTCATGGTACGAATGATACAGTACTGTCATTTCAATAACACTATGTTCATAGAGATATAACTATAATTCTGCTGCAAGGGAATTTTAAATTTGAAATTGTAATTGTTTTACATCTGCATATATTTACTTATTACTATCCCGCATATTAAAAAAGACACACCATACACGTAGGCTACAGCACATACCGCTGACGCGTTTAGTTCTTAGGAAGTGCCTCTCAAATACCAGCTGGACTTGAGGAACCAGTTTCAGTTCCGCATATCTGGCTGTATGTGCTCGAGGTGTTGGGGTTCTTTTTTATTTTTTATTATTTTTCATAGTTTATTTCTGAATTAAACATTGAAATGTGGACTTATTTAATCGATAGTAATATTAGTACAGTAAAATGGTAAATTGGAGGCTCCAATACTAGGCAGGACCAGAAGGGGGGGAGGCTTCTGTTCCCATTGTCGAGAGGAAGCAGAAACGCCCTCGTGCAACTAAAATAATTTTTTTTTTTTAGCGAGTTCAAGAATTACGTCTTAACATTTGTTATAATACATTAGACATCAGAACTCAGCCTAAATGAAATAGCATTTTTTTTCTGAAATAAATATGGAAGGCAATACAAATCGTGCCAGACTTTATTCCCCTTTAATATGATGTCAAACAAATATTTAAAGGGCAGTGCTGAGGGCGGCCAGCATCCGGACACATGGCACATTGCTGATACTCATGAATGTTTTACTAAGATTTAAAAAAACCATCTATTGGTGCGTTCGATTATTTCTCTCCAAGTCGGAACTCGGATGAAAACGTCAAGAAAAACGTCACTTCCCATCGGAAACACGCTTCTTTTATGACGTTGATGTCGGACAAGTTAAAACCCCGGAAATCATAAGAGTAGAGTGGGGTAATTTTTGTGCCGTTCTCAATTTCTCACTTACTGTAAGTTTAAATAAATCAGTTACGCCAGGTGATTTCAGAAGACGTGGAGGATTCCGGTGAACCTATTAATGTTTGTGCTTCCCTGTGTTTATCTAGGGTGATATGCAGGGGTGAAAGTAGTTTTCATTTCTTGCCGGTACTACAATCTTTTAATCACTTTATCGTTTTATATCTCTCTTCAGTCGCTCCTGAAAAAAACTTTAATATTTAAGAATGTTTTGAGTTTGAAAAGTCATTTATTATTTGTCCGAGCTGCAACCACCACTAAGAACCCACGATCCGGGATCTGGTTAGAAAATCCAACGTCTCAGCGCACCAGTGATGCAAAAATTGATCCAATCACTAAAAAAAATATATTTTTAAATAATATTCGGGTCGCGGTCGGTCAGGTCGTTTGAAATAAAGATGCCAATTAAACAGTTATATAATTTACACATTTTTTATAAAAGACAAAGACTTTATTGGCTGAATAACTGCGGAAGATGCAGCGCAAGCTCGAGACTTTAGAAGGTGACGACTGGGGAGTTCCAAAAACGCACCGACAGAAACAGCAAAGTAGACATTTGCAGAAATTATTAAAAGCTATTGATCATAGTGCTGGCTTTGTCAACCTTTTAAAAAACAATTGGTACCTTTAGCCTTCTTTTTAAGCCCAGGCCCTACTGTAATAAAATTTGTAGTGTGAAATCCTCGTATAATGAATTCGAGCGTCCCTGCAGCGCACCCCTTCAAAGTAGCCTAATATGCGCGCATAGGAAACATTTAAGTCATGACAATAGTTTGTCTGACAGAAAACACCTGTGCAGCGCTCTGTGATGTAGGAATAAACACAAATCACCACAAAAGCGGAACACATTTTTATCGAGGGGATTCTTCACACCAAACGCCCTGCCAAAATCCGACAGAGCGCAAATAAAAGACCTGTCTGCAGCAGAGGCGTGCAAGTGCACCACAGACTAATAGCTATTTCGAGTAGCCTAAACGCTATTCTCTTCATCGAATGCATGTCTCAAATTACATTTTGTGGGTAGATGTGTTTTCAACTTAAATAGCGGACGTTACTCATTGTAAATGTGTTTTTTTAGACCGCATAGACCCTCTACTCTTACCAGTACTACGTACCGGCTGTAAATCTTATAACGGTACGTCGTACCGGAGCGTACCGGCTTACTTTCACCCCTGGTGATATGTAATGAATATGTAATGAAAATAAGCACTTTGCAGGACACACACTCATTACGGTCAGTTAGTGTCACTAAGCGTCTTTGGGCTGTGGGAGGGAACACGGGGAGAAACTCATAGTGGGGGAGGGGGATTCAAACCCCAACCCTGAGAGCTTGTCAGAGAATCTCTTACACTGTGTGGTATCGTTTCAGAGAGTGTTAAAGAAGATGACAGACCATCTATATTTTTTTGTTTTAATGTTAGTTTAAAAAGTAATTCCTTCTGATTGTGTAACTATACTGCAAGATGTCCGTAAGAAAAACAGCAAACAGGAAATCCTTCCTCAAAACAGGAAACCAATGTGTTAAGGTGAATCTGATGCAGAGCTGAAGCCATTTATTCCAGCCTGCAAAGTTAATTTACAGTCAGCAGCAGTGCCAGTAAATGCCAGAGGCCTGCCGTACTAGTGAGCAAGAAGGACAGGATCATGGCACCATGTATGTAATGGAGATCAGACAGGGAAAGTGGCTATTTGCTCTGGCAAACGGCAGTGAGTGCAGAGTGACTAGGGGAGGGGGGTTGTTAAAAAAAAAAAAAACCAGGAACTCACACTAACTTCCCCTTTTATCAAAACCACTTCCCCTTATGTGAGACAGTCTGCATGGCTTGTCACAGACATCAGCAGCACTAACTGTGTTAAAGTCGTAGCTCTGTGTTCTCCTACTGGCCAGCATTCTGAGTAAAGCTGCTGTCAGTCTTAAGGGACAATCTGAGCAGATACCAGTGCTGAGCCACAGGGGGCAGCAGAGAGCCATTTGCCCCCTGTGTAAATATCACATTGTAGCTTCCCATTAACCCTTAGGAACCTGAACCACTGTGACCACTGTACCCGTCTTATGTCACTTTCCATTGCCAAAGACCAGTTCCAACACTAAGAAATAATAATTTAAATAATAATAAGAGCACAAGTACAGACGGTAAAAATCCACAGATGTTGGTCTTGCTCTGCCCCAAATATCAAGGATACATCCGTTGCATCCTCACCAGACTTGCACCTCAAGTTCATTCTTGGAAAGCAAGTTAGCAAGACTGGTCTTTGCGTTCTTGGTATTGAGATTCACCCCATGACCTAAACCACTGACCTTTAATTCAGGAAGCACAAAGGAGCACAGGACGCTAGAGGGAGCCAGTAGCCCCTTTTCCAATCCACTGGTACCAGTGCTGGCACTGGGACTGGTGCTTAGCCGGTGCTGAAGTTGGGAACCAGCAAAAGCTGGCTTGCATTTCCACGGAATTGAGCCCAGTGGGCACCAGGTGACAACACTGTGTCCACATCACAAACCACGCCCAATTTCCGACATTATCTTTATTTTGCGTTGCCTCGGTTACTCCGCACACCTCTCATGACGACATGAATGCTTCATCCAGACCAGCGAAGGCTTGGTGCCGGTTAGGAGCCGATTTTGCAGCACCAGTGCCATTTTTTTTTCTGTGGAAAAACGTGGCACTGATTCCAAATTGGGGATCGGCACCGGAACGGCACCGGCACCTTTTCAGTGGAAAAGGGGTAAGTGAGACCTGGCAAGCCAATTGGATTTGGGCTAGATTTTAGGGGGATTTATGCTTGCTCTGGTGTAACCTGAGATGCCCCCCGGCGCAAAATAAACTGACTCAACTATGGTGAGATGCACTGTGGGAATTCACAAGAAGTGAGGTAAAGGCTGACATCTGCTCAGTGTGAACACACAGCAGTATCTGATGGTTCTGCTGGGCCCAGATTCTCGTTCAATTTTATAGGCCCAATTCTTGGAGATGGAAAAAACACATGCAACTATGAAATTCAAAACACAGAGCTTATTGTATAAATCTGCATAAGTACATTTTTCAGTTGGGTAATAAGGCAGAAATCAGAAAGGTTTTTATCACATTCTGAGTTAAGAACATAAGAACTAGTTGATTGTTTTTGCCAATGTGATACATACATGACCACAAACACACGTTTGTATTTATACCTTTGTGGGGACACAGTCCATTCATTACTATGGGCAAAACCCTAATCCCAACAATGACAACCTTAACCCCTACTCAGCCCTAACCTTAGCCATAAGTAACCAAGCAAAATAGAAGACTTTTGGTTATTTGATTGCAGTCACAAATTGGTCCCCACAACATCAAAATAACAGGTTTTCATCACAGCATACTATATACATAACCCCCCCCCCACCCCAAACATGAGGGGGAGGTGGGAATCAGACACACAACTCTGCTGTACAATGAGACCCACTCAGCTTCCAAGACAAGAAGTGGTACTTTAGAGCTGGGACAAATTTAGAAAAATCATAAGAAAATAACATCAAAACATTTTTTTATTATATTATTATTAATATTACCACCAGCTGTGGTTCTGACTAGGTAATCCATCTGAAGCTGAGCAGGTTTGGGCCTGGCCACTACTTGGGTGGGAGACCAACTAGGAAATCTGGTTTCCTAGTCATCCCCTATTTCTAATTGGTGAATTCTCTTCTGCCTCTTAACCACTGCGGTGAGCGTACTGGTGCAGAATAGCTGCCGTCACATCATCCAGGTGGGGGCTACACAGTGGTCGTGGTTCTACAAAGCACTTTGGGTGTCTTGAAAAGTAAAAGTAACATTACTTTTGATAGTTTGAAAAGAAATGTAACAGTTTCCTCCATTCATGGTACATTTCAGTATTTAATATATTTACATCTCATTTACTACTCACATTTGCTTGGTCTTTCCCACACTATCTATACACAGCTGCTGACAGTCTGTTTACTTTATTAAATGACTCTCTCAACTATGTTAATAGGTACGCCATCCACCACAGCAGCCCGGACTTTAATACGGAGTGGGCTGACCTTTTCCCTAGATGCCGTGTGCTGTTGTGTTGCCGACCCTGTGGGTTCGAGATCAGGACTGATGAGAGGTTGCCGGAAAAGGGAAAACTCTTCTGACGTTGCTGGCAAACAGCTTGTTTTCTGGTCCTCAGACTTATGAAAACACTGTCCCACTTCAGAAGGCGTTTTAAGGCCGGTATGCATTTACACCACCGGTACTCACAATGTGGGCATGTCTGTTAGGAGTTTATGGGTAACGGGTCACTGCACCGAACGCTTATGGCTGTTACCTATGGACAGTTATAGCATTTATTGATTTTATATACCTTATCAATAGTCCCAGCCCTATTAAATTTAGCATTATACTCATGTATTAAGCAGGATATATCAGAGTCAAAATTGGAAAGCAGATTGAAGTATATCATCACATTTCATATATATATATGTGACAAGCAATTATGAAATTTATTATTCAGCCTGTTTTTTATCACACAGCTGGTTCCTCCATCTTCTTATCAGCACTGCTATCCCCAGCACTGACAGAGGCACCATTAAATCAGGGCATCTTCAGATGGTCCTGGATCAGGCAGATTTTTTCCTCTGTTCTTTTCACCTTCTTTTCCACAGGCATGAAAAAACTGGATACAGTCAGTCGGATTTTCATCTGTTTGGTGTTTCTGCCATAATTTGATCAAAACTGCAGCCCCCACGGCCGCCACAACCAGCACAACCAACACAATCACCACAATCACTGCTGGTGGAGGAGGCACTGTAGAAAGGAGAGAGATCAGTAAGTGTCCAGACACATTTTCACACAAACACTCGATCCTCAGTCAGTGTAAAATCTCACTGAAGCAGCCAGTAGAGCCGCATCACTTTGCCAAACAGCCTGACTCAGTACAGCCTTGCTTAAACCTGCACCGACTTCTGGAGGGGGAGTAACAGCCTCGTTTACATTAAACAAACCTTCACAGACCTCATGCACGGTGGGGGGGGGGGGGTTAGAGGGTTAACAGCCTACAGCCTAGTGCATGTTAAGAATTGTTATCTAAGTGGACCTGTACAAACCTGGAGTTGGGAGAACTGAAACTGTTTGATTCCAGCCTCCTGTAGACACACCTGGGTCAAAATCAAGAGTCAGCATGAGTCTGTATAGTGCCATCCACACGGCAAGCGGCGGAATTTTTGTACCATTGTATGTCAATGAGGAGACCGGCGCCACATTCCGTCACCTTGTTTTCACCGCTTCGCTGTGCTGCTCGAAGTTCAAAATCATTGAACTTTGACCTAGTTCACTGACCTCTACCAAAGTGGCATCCAATCAGATAGTACCATTGATTTAGGACAGGTAGGTTTGGTGACTTAGAAACCACACCACTTAACAACATGGAGGAAAAACTAATAATTGCAGTCTCCCTGTACGCCAAATTATTTAACATCACCTTAGAGTCATGTCAAACTTTACTTCAGAAAAATTCTGCTTGGAGACATACAAGTGCAGATACCAGGTTACTAAGAAAACTAAAGTAAATGCACTTTTCAACCCAGCAGCAAAAGAGCTTTCTTTCCGTAAACCAACAATGTAACTCAATGTAAATTTACAATCACTTATTTTTATGGTAAGTGCTCTTTCAAGACATATTCACCAGGTCAGCGCCTTTCATGAGGGCTGGGTGGTTTGCCGCTGGTTGTGTAAACAGGACATCAAATTTTTCACCTCGTTTACATTAAATAAACCTGCACAGACCTCTGGGGGGGATGTTAGTCTCATTCACATAAAAAAATTGTCTCTACAGACCTTTAGTCGGGGTGACTGGAGTTTGCGTCTGGCTTTCTGCAGACAGAGGGACAGAAGCAGCAGAGTCAGTGTGAGCCTGTAACTCAGAGTTGCAGCAGTGAGTGTGAGATGCAGGGTAGCAGCAGAGAGCTGGGGGCCGGGGGATAAAGGCGGCCTGCAGAGAGTCCCTACTGCTCTCAACTTCTGGGTCACGGTTCTGTTCATGCAGGTCGGGGGGCAGACTGAGCTGTAGGAGGCTCTGCCCCACAGAGACGGGTCTCGGGGGGTTTAAGGGGGAAGGGGAACCAGCAGAAGGGTCACTTACCTGTAACACTAAGGCAAATGATTTGATCCTTAATATCGTTTCGACATGTGTATTTCCCTCCATCCTTTTCTTTCACACGATTTATGACCAAAGAGAAGTTTTTTTGTTCGATAGATGGTAGCGTATAGCGGGGATCTGCCTTCCATTCCCCATTTTCAATATAACCGAACCATACACCATTAAACAGCCACAGAATGTTGTTCATGTCCGTAACTGCTGATCCATTACAGGGCAGCATGGCATTGCCTTCAATATGAGCGTCAATACGAGTCCCAATACCTGATTAATATAAAGAACATTAACAGATTATTATATTATATACTTTACACACAGTGCCAGCTCTGTACACTGATTGGTCCATTCACTGTACCATGTGTCTTTGCACTAATCACATACCACAGTTTAACTGCAGCGTAAATAACATCATACAGCAGGTTGAGTAAGCAAGCAGCTGACTAAGTTACAGTCTTTACAGCACAACAGAGAGACCTGATCCCCCCCAACAGAAGAATGTTACAACAGACACCCCCCATCAGTTACTCCCATCACTGTATAATTAACAAAGCAGAGAAGCACTGACAAGTACAGTATAGTCAGTTACACACAGGATCAGTGTGAGACTGTTACTCACATGAGTCCACCCCTAAGACAGCAGGGAGACAGTGACCAAGGCAGAGGAGCAGCAGAAGTCTGAACATCATCCTGCCGTTAGACAAGATCGAGATGAAAGAGGTCAGGATTCACATGTATAAAAATACAAACTCAGCCGACTGTCTGCAGTCTGCATCCTCAGGGTCAGATGCTGTAACATTTAAATAATGTTAAAATAACATCATGACCATCGGCAAGTTCAATATTCAATCACATAGTTTTCTCTGATTAACTGTGATTTGTCACACCTAATGTTATAATCATAAATATTTATCTTTTGAATCCCTAAATTAATGCAGAATTAATACAAAAGTATATGAGTCATTATCACAAACCCATTACCAGAACATATGAATTTTCTCTCATTTTTAAAATTAATTTGAAGATAGACTCAAACTATTCAGCTTCATTGTCTAAAATGTCAATATGGCATTTGGGATAGTTAATCAGTTTCATTATGTGACCATTTATTTGTGTAATAAACAAAAGTATTTAATCAAATCCAGGGCAAGTGTTACTGGAATGAGAAACAAATGACACAGGATACAAATGGGTTATTTATATCCTACTTATGCTGCCATAGCCATATCTGCTGGAGCATTGCACTTCATATTGCACTCATCTAACTTTTGGCACTGCCTATAGTCTCCCCTACTTTGACTAATTGCATATTTTATTTCCCCTACTTCTCCTGGGGGGAGCTGCCTGGAGCCCTCAATCTATCAAGATGTCCAGCACACCCTGCAACATGTGACGTCGTCTCTAGCAATGACGTCCGTGCATCCAGCTCGCCGTTCTGCCTGTGTCATCTTCCTTGTATGACCCGCTCCCTGCCTTCTGGTTGCCTGCCGATTGGAGGGAGTGTTGGCACCGGCTTGTCATCTCCCCCCTGCTCCCCGTTTGTGTTTCAGATTTAACTGTATTTGACTCTCCCTGCCGGCCCCTGGAGGATGGGCTCCCCCTTTGAGTCTGGTCCCTCTCAAGGTTTCTTCCTTCTAGGGAGTTTTTCCCTTGCCACTGTCACCTATGGCTTACTCACTGGGGGCTTTGGGTGGGGATGCTGTAAAGCACTTTGAGACAATGTAATGTTGTGATAATGCGCTATACAAAAATAAATTTGTTGTTATTTATTGTGGGTTACATGCAATAAAGTTGGAAGACATAAAAATTGGTTATGTATTTTTCTGATACTGATTTTTAACAACCTATTTAGTGAAAAATGAAAAATCATCAAACCAAAGCCACAAATCACAACTCTAATACACCCAAAATACACTTGCTCTACACAAAATATTTAACCTTTTTTTCTTGAAAAAAGTTCAAGATAATTACACATATTTTAATATTTGTGTAATGGTTTAATTTGTGATATACAGATTATTCATATCCAACAAAAATACTACTTAGAAGCAAGTACAAGCTGAATTTCAATGCTTTCAAAAAGGCTAAATGAAGAGATGACAATAAGAGAGCATTATATTATAAGTACAGATGTTACACTTTTGTTTTAATGACAGACCTTGGTAATTAATGGTATACAGTATTAAATGTGCACGTATAATCGTACTCAACAGGCGGACCAAAACACTATTTAATCCCGAAGGCACGATTGATGTAAAAGCTTTATGGCAAATGGCTCTAAAATTAGATGCCTGACAACTACTGAAAGTGCACTTTATAACATGAACAAAAACAAAAAAAAATAAATTACTTTTTGGTGAGTAGATACCTATTCTCTGCAAGATTTTGTAATGGTGCTCAGTCACTCTGAAAATGAATGTTGAGTGACAAAACTTAAGATGCATTTTGGATCATTTCACTACTTGAAAAGTAGTGGGGCAAAAATGAGTGGATGTGTCAGCGTCAGATGGGAGGCGAGCAAGGAAGCAGGCGAGCAAAGCCAGGAAGTCCGGTAAAGGGGTTTATTAAGGGAGGGACGGACAGGCACGGACATCTAACGTGACACTACAATGACAAGTCTGGGGAAGACTGACTCAGACGAGGACTAAATACAAAAGACAAGCTAGACTTAATAGGACACAGGCGATCACAATCAGGGCTGAACACGAGGTAACGAGGTGGGCGTGGCACACATTAGGATCGGACGGATCGGGGCGTGACAGGATGTTATAACTTCCATCCATCCATCCATTGTCCAACCCGCTTATCCTACTGGGTCGCGGGGGGTCCGGAGCCTATCCCGGAAGCAACGGGCACGAGGCAGGGAACAACCCTGGACAGGGGGCACACTCACACATGCACACCTAAGGGCAATTTAGCAATGCCAATTAGCCTCAGCATGTCTTTGGACTGT